CCTATCAGGGTTTTCATACCCCCATACCAGGTCTTAGTTTGACCACCCTGGATCTTTTTCCAACCCCTACCAGCCTTAGCAAACATCGCTCGCAGCGGCAACCTATCTGGTGACATGCGTAACACATGCTCCAACCAACGTAATCTATGGAGGTCGATCACTTGCTCCAGTGAACGACCGCAAATGCCTAAAACTCTACGCCTAACCTCAGCACTGCTAGTCCGGTTACCTCACCATACTCGTGCAATAAGACGTAGACAGCGGTGTTCGAACACCGACAATCTATTTTTATCCTGTTCCCGTAATGACCAAGTCTCTGTGCCGTAAGGCAGAACTGGCCGTACTGCTGCAGCGTATATTCACAGACAGCTGAATTTCGCGATGGCTTCACAGATGTCTCAGGTTGTCGAACGCCAATGGGGTTTTCAATATGCTCGCCGACACTTCATCTGTGATGCTTCCGCCAGGTGAGATATAGCTGCCCAGAAAGTAAAACTTGTCTACTTCCTCTACTACTTGCCTAATTAGGGTGAGACTGGGAGGTGGCCCAACTCAATCTTGGAGAGAGCATTTTACCTTGGAGGTGCAAAACGCATACCGAACATGGACACACTAGCACTCAAACTATCCAGAAAAGCTTGCAACTTACCTGGATCTTCACTTAGTAGCACAATGTCGTCTGCATACTCTAGATCGGACAGTCTGCCACTCGAAAGTAAATCGGTACCGCTATCCTTGCACGAGGATAAGGCCGATGCAGTATGAATTCAATTTTTGTCTGTGTTCATTCGAGCTTTATGGACCGGGTACTGCCAGGGTTTCCAGTCACTAAGCAGAATCACAATTAGGGTTCTCAACCAAAGCCTTTAGTTCTGACAAGAACCTAACCGCAAGGCAGCGGTTAAGGTGGATTAGAGGCCCATTAACTTGGATCAACTATTCCTCCAACATGTTTTATCGACTGAGATACGGACTCAAGTCGAACCCCAACCTGGAGGATCAGGAGACAGGACTTTGTCTGACCCCTACCCATTGACCTCCCAGGCATGATTAGATCTTTGGCTCGGCAAAGCCATCTTGTGTAGCTCGTTGGGTGCACAAGCCATCACACCACGTCAAGGTGCAGTCTCCTTATGATGGTTGAGTCGGCGTACATTTTAGCCATATCGGTGAGCGCGGTCCAGTTATGCAGTAAACAAGTATCGTGATGTACCGACGAACTGCGGATTGCACGTTTCAATACTTATTAGAGTCAGTGGCAGGGGTGATCACAGAAATTGAAACACGTATTTTTCCGGATATATGCTTGTTTCACATATACGTATATGTGGTAGCATTCCTTTGATTGTGGTTCCTGTACGGCGCCCTTTTTCTTATCTCAGTGTAAAACTGAAACTCAAACAATCAATGAAACCCTAGCTATGTTCGTTTGAGCATTGATGTGAACACATTGTCTCGGTTTGTGTGCGTCTAAATATCTCCGTCCAAGGGCCACATCGA